ATCTCATTTTGTTAATTGGTTATAAGGAATGCATGTATTAAGGGGTATTATATTTCTTTATGAGATCAAAGTATCACAAACTCATTTTTAGGAATATCTTGGGTACATATCTTGGGTTCCCTCTAACGGACAAAATACCTTTCCCTTCTCAAGTCAGTTATATAATTAGGAATATGAAATCCAAACTTTCATCATGGAAAGCTAGATGTATCTCCAAGGTTGGAAGAGCCACTCTCATCAAGTCAGTTCTTACTTCCATCCCTCAGTACTCAATGCAAATTCTTGCCCTCCCAAAAAAATTGTGCCACCAAATAGACCAAACCTGTAGTAGGTTCTTCTGGGGAAGCATTGATGATGACAGAAAATTAGCACTTATAGCATGGTTTAAACTTTGTGGTCCACCTGAAAAGGGAGGGCTAGCCTTCAGGGAATCCCATATTCATAACCTCTCTCTTCTTGCCAAGCTCTATTGGAAGGTGCATAACTCCTCCAACATCTCTTCCAACATTATCAATGATAAATACTGTCATAGACAATTACCCACCTCTTGAAAAAATAAGTCACATATCTGGAAAGCCATAAGAAAGGACTGGAGGGCTGGCCAATCTTCCAGCACTTTATAACCTAATGGCTGATTAGTAATGGAAATACTTGCCTATTATGGCTTGACAACTGGAATGGACTAGGCCCTCTCGGGAATGTCATCTCAGGCCCCCTACCTCATTTGGAAGAGGAGAAACTATCAGTGGCATCGTATATGGCTCTTGGGACATTGATGCCCTCCCTGTTAGCCTCCCCCCTCAAGTTGTCCAAAGAATCAAAGGGATACCCATATTCTTTGAAAAGGAGGATCTCTCCTTCTGCTCCCTTGAAGAAGGTTCCTTTTTTTTAATCTGGAAAAGGCCTATTCCTATCAGTGGGAAAACCTGCACCAGTCTCTACCTATCTCCAATGTGTGGCAACACATTTGGGATCTCCAAGCTACCCCTCCTATCAAATTCTTTCTATGGCAGGATTTTTGGGAAAGATTCCCCATTGCTAATTGTCTACACTTAAAATACATCATACCCTCACCCTTTTGCTCTTTCTATCCCATGACACTGGAGGATGCTCTCCATGTCTTCTATTACTGTCCCAGAGCCAGTGAGGTGTGGAAGGAAATACAAAAATCCCCCTTGCCTCAAAACCCCTCATGCTTCATAAGACAGATTGCTGAAAACCTGTAGATTACCTCAATTAATCCATCCTTTAATGCTCCATGGAATCTGGCCTTTGCAGTCCTACTTTGGAAAATATGGGCTAGGAGGAACTGCTGGGTGTTCAATCAGAAATCCTTGCCTACTGATCAATGGATTAAAGGGATTAAATCCACCATCCATGAGATTACCTTTCTCTATGACAATGGTACTAGCTAACAAAGCATATCATTAGTAAACCTATTCCATCCCTCCAACTGTCTCTTTTTGTGGATGATGCTTTCTGTCAAGCTAGCTCCTCTGTTGGCATAGCTAGCTTGTTTATGTAGGAATGCCAATGGGGAATGGATACAAGGGGTGGGGCCCATATACCAGCTGTCAATGCTCTTTAGGCTGAATTGTTTACAATTTTAACTGCTATGACTTTGTGTTCTAATATGGAATGAATTTCTATTTACATCTATTCTGACTGTCAAAATAATCCAATCAAACTCCAACTGATGAAGCATACTTCCTATATAGTCTTTGCAGGGACCTAGCTTAAGCAAATCCATCCATGTTGCTAATAATGTGCCGAGGAAGAAGGTGAAGGTAGCAGATTTTCTAGCCAAAGAAGCAAGGCAGACTCTAACTCTATCTGATGTATTCAACAACGATTTTTTGTATATGGATCGGTTTCATGTAATATATATATGCTCCACAAGATCCATCTGCCTGTGTAGGGGTGAACAATAGATAGATCCCATTTTGGTCCACTACTGGGCACTAACTCTAACTAGTTACCTAATGCCTCATACTATGTTCTGTAATTATTTGACTTTAAGTTTCAAGCCTATAAGGGCGTACTTTAATTTTCACCAAAAAAAAAAAGGCATTTTTAGATTATGGTAAAATTTGCCACAAAAAAGATTTGCAACTTAGGATCGGAATGATATATCCACTTTTCAAATTCAACTATGAGGCTAATAAATTGATTTTAAATAATGAGATAATTTAACTATGTGGCCGATTTAATTGTAAAACTTCTCAAAATTAATTAATCCATAAACAAGAATGTCATCCATTACATTACATGAATACGTACAATTTGAGCGATAATTTTTTCAAAAGTAAGCTCTGCTAAGTTTATGCATGTTCCAATGGGAATTAGGTAGGATAAAAATTTACACTCTTAATTCTAAATTGATTTGCTCAACTAAAGTTTAAGGGCCTGTTCATCTTTACTGAATTGAGCTGAACTGATGATTGGAGCTGAACTGGACTGAAATGAACTGAACTGAATAAAGTTGAAATGAATATTTTATGAGAGAAGGAAATTAGAAGCTAAACTGAAATAAACTGGTTGAAAGTGAACTGAACTGAAATTAAGCTCAAGTGAACAAGCCCTAAGTAAAGGAGCTCAAAAAGACTTGGTTAGATGCTCAATTAAAGTAAAGGAACTAAGCCCGACCCGATTTTGCGCGAGTTTTGGGCAGAATTTTCCGGCCCGAAATCGGGTCGGGCCCGACCTGGCCCGATTTAAAAAAAAGTTTGGACGGGTGTGGGAAATGGATTTTTTTTTCAATTTTAGTTGATTTTTTGGCCCTACCCGAAATTGGCCCAAAAAGCCTATATGGCCCAACTAGTTTGGGCGGGTTTGGGCACATACACGTCTTCCATCCCGAAGCTTGGCCCGCCCATTGATCACCTCTACCTGAAATATATATACCGTACCATTACCAACTTTCCATTAAATACCTTTTTTTTATTAGTATTCTAGAATATTCCTCTACTTAATTATGTGAGTGTTTTTTTAATTTCGGTTTGCATTCAAAAACGGATCGGAATTAATTAGAGATGATTTTCCTCCATAATTTTACAATTTAAAAGTGATAATGTGTTATTTCAAGGTAAAATCTGCCAAAGATCTAAGCCTCCCCGCATTTTTCGGTTTGCTAAATTTATTCAAAGTTGTCATGCATGCTGAGCTCCCCTTTATTCTCAAGTTAAAACTTAAAATTGTGAAGCTGAGCTGGTTCAACATGTGTGAGAGGTGCTGGTTCAGTATGGACCTTTATCTTATTTTATAAAAAATTCGTTTGATGGACACATCGATCATCTAGTAGATATAAACACCAATAGTTGGCATACTTGCATGTTTGAATACATATTATTAGACACAAAAAAATCGTGATTATTTAGTTGGATATTTTTACACTTTGATATATATGAGTGAGTAGTCGTATCATCTATATATGACACAGTCCATTTCAAATGACACAAACCATTATTACAGTACAGGTCAATTAGTTTTTGATACAATAAATCTATACAATTATATTCTAATACTACGTACTTCCTTCGTTCTTTTTTACTTGACCCGCTTTGACTTTTACACTATTCATCATTCCTTTTTGACCGTCTTTTGTGAATAGTATGCAAGGAAAAATATATTCATGTAAGATCTTTTTGAATTCGTCTCAATAAGTACTATCATAATATGTAAATTTTACAATTTTTACTTATAGAGAATTAAAGTTATTGATCGTTAAAGTTTTGCATTGGCAAACGTGATAAAAGAAACAGGTCAAGTAAAAAAGAACAAAGGAAATATAAGATAACACTTCTTTTATGCTCTTGCCTTGGCTGTACAAATTGATTTGGACAAAGCAAAACAATCGAAATTGTTGAAAATTTTCAAAATGGCCTGTTCACATTTACTTAATTTCAGTTCAACTCCAATCAGTTCAGTTCAGTTTAGTTCAGCTCCAATCAGTTCAGTTCAGTTCAGCTCTTGATTTTCCTCTCTCATAAAATATTAATTTCAGCTCAGCTCAGTTCAGTTCAGTTCGGCTACAATCAATCCAGTTCAGCTCAGTTCAGTAAATGTGAACATGCCCTAACCCTATATTACGACCCCGTTCACTTCATCTTAATTTTTTTGAACTAAAATTATTTTTTATAGATTCTCTGTTATATTTATTTTTTAATGGTACTGATTTTTACTGAATTGAAATTATTTTTGCTGAATTGAAATTGTTTTTACTTAATATTATTTTAATAAGGTGATGTGAACATGGCCTATAACCACTAAAATATTATACATATTTATTAATTATTGAAAATATTTATAATTCATAAAACTAACGAATATTAATTGGAAAAAAGACCTTAACTTTAATTCTTTAAAGTTACCTCAAATTAAATATTGCACTACATACCAATAATATACTAGTAAGTTTTACATTTAAAGAATGTAATTTCAAAAGGATGGAACTTTTATATTACACAAAATTACAGCATAAGAAAAGATAAAATGAATGAAGATTAAAAGAAGTAAAAGCAAAGCCATTTTAATATGGATAAGTACTCCATAATATAAAACAAATAGCTAGGTACATTGAATTAATTCATAGACATATTTCAAAAAAAAAAAAAAATTAATTCATAGACAAAATATAAATTTATATTTTTGTCCAATCCTAGTTAGGTCCAAACTGTAACAAGTTTCTAAAACTATTTTGATGACAGAATTGATAGTCAAATGGGAACATAAACAAGGATCTTCAAAAGATATGGGGGTCCTTATTTGGTTGGATATGATTTTGTCCTTTATTTTATGTTCTTTCTTTTTTTCTCTATTTTTGTTTTTTTTTTCTAGCTTCCATTGATTTTGGCTTCTTCAAAAATAAGCAATATAATATTTTTAATTGAAAATCAAGAATCATAGCCAGTTTGGAGTAAAGGAATTTCTTCTTCTATATCAATTGTTGGAGCTGACACAAAGTTGAGAGAATTCTCCTTTCTTTTCATCATTTGTGTTTCTTTGAACATAATGTCTCTTCAATTCCCTTGCTTTGTTGGCACCTCTTTCTTCATATAATCTTTGCATTCTGGAATCACATACAAACAATAAAAAGAGGATGTGATCAGTATAAAGTAGACGGAAATCAAAAGGCTTTATTTGAAATGCATCGTACTTAATTTTAACTAAAGTGATCGATCAATTTTTTCATTATACATTATGATGTAACTTTTTAAGGTTAAATTTTGGAGAGTTGTGGTTAGATGTTTGAAGCTAGAGTATGTAAGATTGACGGGATTGGTTCATCTACGATTTTAAATGTATATTTATTTTCTTGTGCCTTAAAGTCTCAATGAATGAAACCATACATGCATGTCCATCGTGATTGAAGTCCAATGTGTTTCCAAAACATGGCATTTTGGCAACAATATTGATGTTTAATAACTAATTTGTCATTTTTAATATTGTTTAAATCCAAAAATAATATATTTTGCAACTTGATAACAATAACATGACAAAAGAACCTAGCAAATGGGGATTTTTTTTTATTTTCTATCTTTGGTTGGGGGCTAGGGGGTATTAGGAGCAAGCTAGGCCCCATAACATGCCTTGATTGCCTAATGTTAGCCCTAACTTCAAACAAGGAAGACATGCCCTCACCCCTTAACCTACCCCTTATAAGTTATGAATGCTCAATCATGAATCCTAGCATGGGAACATAACTTGGTAATTTTTTTTATATAATTTATATGAGGTAAATAAATTTATAGGTACATCTCAACGGCAGAAAAAGAAATCTATTAATTACATCAGATATTACAACTCCTTGGAACTATTCTTGATCTTCATTTCACCCTTAACTATATATGTTCCAAAATCATTATATAAATTTCCTGAACTGTCACTGATAAATTCTAACACGGGATGCAGTTTGTGATTTAATAATTCCGCCTTCCAGATAAAGGATTGGTAAAAATGGAAACTCTAGCATGGTAAAGCATGAATGTATGTAAGCATGTATATAATTTTATGATATATACTTACAGTTTTCTAATAAAAGAGATTTCTAGTAAAAATGATGATATTCTACTGAAATGAATACAAGTTGTTGGTGAATCCAAGTTGATTAATGATGCTTTGTCGTTGCTGCTCATTTAATCCCCAGTATAAACTCCCGGCATCCTGAAAATGACATATTTAATTAATTCATAATTAAATCAAACAATTCCAAAATTATTTTGGCTTACTACCAAAACTATTTTAAACATGGTGGTCCTTCCAAACAACATTTTGGCCAAACTACCAAAACACATTTGAGTATGATCCTTCTTACACAATTTTATTTTATTTTTTGATAGAACACGATCCGATTTACTTTTCATTAGTTTCTAGTTTCCCACCGCGTTTTCTTTTTACAATAATCAATGTTTTCCCGATTATTTATTAATCTTTAAAGAGTACATACACTAGAGACGGTTGGGAGACTAATTTAAAATGTGTTGAAAATTTTCAACACTAGATTAAGTACATTTTGATTTGGTCCCTACTACTAATATTAGTAATTGATTTTTTTGGTCCATCCAATAGTGAAATGTTTGTTCTAATCTACCTATCTTTGTCAAAGTAGGTAAAATATGATCTGTTTTTACAATACCTGTAAAGGAAGCAAAGTTGGCTTCTGCTCCTGTTGTTGTATTAAACTGGTTGAGCTATCAACAACAGGGCTAGTAAAGGTGGGAGTTGAGGCCGAGCTCGTGGTGGAGCAGCTCACGGCGTTGGTGGTGGCGAAAGCTTGTGGTTGATCAATGCTACTACCACCGTTGCTGGTGGGTTGCATTAGTGGTTGCATTGGCAATGTCATGCCATTGGTCATGGCCTAAATTTTCATGACAATTCAAATAATAAGAATATAATAATTTGGAAAAATAAATAATCCAAGGTTTAAAAAACATTACAATAATTCTAAGATAATAATAATAAATTGTACCTGTGTTCCAAACATCATAGGATCATGATCCATTAATCCAAAATTATATACCATGGGGTCCAAAGAAGCAAGCTTCATTGACAAAAACTGTTTTTAAAAAAAAAATGAAGATATAATTAAGGGTACATTTCCCAAAGAAAATCTTCAGTTAACTTAAAGAAATACGTAATAGTGATGCAATAATATGCAGGTAATATTCTATTGGAATTATCATAATAGGGTACTTTAAACCTTTTGCATAAATTATTACATGGTCTAAAAGTACAATATACTATACCATCATCTATAGTTTCATTAAATTATTAACAGATTAAAGATTGTAATTTCTAAAAATCTTGCCTTAAATAGAAACATAATCCATAAAAATACTAATGATATTGTGAGTTCAACCCAAAAGTATTTGAATATGTTAAGATAGTGACAATTAATGTATGTAGGAAAATTCTCTAGTGGTCGTATGTTGAAGATAACAAGTGTAATAGGGCAATATAACGACAAAATTTACCAAGTTGGTGAAAGTTATAATTGACATAATAGAATGGTCGTATCCTAAAAGGTTATCATTCTAACATAATTAGTACTCGACGATAACTTGTATAAATTTAAAACTCATAGTTTAATAGTGTATGCATGTGTCGATAAATGAAATTAAATTTAAATATACCTCGACTTGACTTTGTAAGGATTGGACATAATTGATAATCTCATCCAACATGAGGGCCTTTCCGGTGACCTATTTTCAACCAAGACATATGAACTTGTCAATTAAACAACTTACACACAAATAAATCATAACAAAATAAAACAGAGTATACCATAAATAATTCCTGTTAAACCCACCTTGTCACAACCTGGAACAATTGCTTGCAACGTCTTCATTCTCTCACTGATTTTTTCTCTCCTCACCTGTCAAAATCCCGAATATTAATACATTAAGTTTTTCTACTATTAAGGACATGTTTGGTATCGTTGTAAGTTTTCAAATGAATCATTTCAAACTAATTATACAGCAAATGTTTATAATAAGATTTTTAAATAAGAAAAAACCAAAAAATAGAAAACTAAACGTAATGGGTCCGAATGGTCCGATCATAAATGATAAAATAATAAACGATAATACGTATAGGAAATGACTATTATACCCTTTCAGCAAGGCTGTGGCTATCAGTGGCTTGACCCCTCCTTGCTCTAACATGAATGTAACCCTTTGGTGGTTCATCACTTTTATCTTTCATTGCTTCTTTATCTTCCTTCTGTTTCTTACACTTTGCTTGTTTAACATCCTATACAAAATCACCAAATTCATTTAGGCATATTATCAAACACCTAACGTGCATTATATAAAAGCTCCATTCAAATGGAATACCTTAGAATTAGCAGAATTTGAGGAAGACCCTTTTCGTGACTTCCTCTTTTTATCAACAGGAACCGAACTTTGAGTCATTTGATCACTACTATCACCTTTATCCGCCATTGATAAACTCTCAGTCCTCTGTTTTTCACTCACAGAAGAAGGTTTATTATCAATGGAAGAACCCTCTTGACTATAAATGGTAAAAGGGTCCTGGGATTTTTCAGATGATGCGTAAAATTGATTGGATTTAGCAATAAATTCATCGAAAGCTCCAATTTCAGGAGTTTTAATGGCGGGCATGAAAACAGAGTCAACTAAAAAAGAAGCAGGGTATTGCTGAAAAGCTGCCATGGAAGCTAAGTAAAGTAAAAGCTTTTTGATGGGTATTAATTATAATGGAGATTGAAGTCTTTGAGAAAATTATAGCACAGGATTTGAATTGGATTCTCTGAAAAAAAAAAATGGAGGAGAGAGAAAAGTGAGTGTTTTTCTGAGTCTGAGGTTCTGAGTAAAGGAATGGTAGAGAGGTATATATAAAGTCTGAAACAGAGGAAAAAAACAATAGCATCGTTATTGTTGGTTTTATTGCTTGGAATTTTATTTTATTTTTAATTAATTAATTATTATTTTATTTTATTTTTTTTGTAAATTAAAAAGAAAAAAAAAATTATGTGTAATTTGACTGGTCTTGTCTAACCCTCTCTTTCTGAAGCTGTTGTGAATAGTTAAGGTTGTTTGAGGGAAGGTGGGGGCTACTTAAGGAGATGAGATGGGAGCTTTATCATCAAGGTTGTTTGTTTTTTTTTTTTTTTTTTTTTTGATGGATGTTTAATGTCTAGAACTATCCATGTTTGATGAGGTGTAGTGATTAATTGAAGGGTTGGATGAGGATTTTATCAAAATAAAATGTGTTGTTAGGAGATAAGAATTTGAAGCTTTTGAGTTAGTTGAAGCATTTCATTCTTGGTTCGAAAATTGAACACATTTATAGTTTCTTTTCCCGATTTATATTGTTGATTGACTTAACATTTTAAAACGCACTGTCAAATACAAACAGTTTCTTTACAGCAAGTCCCTATATGAGGCAACTTCCTATACCCGTGCCAATTGGTGCATGACATTATATTACTCGTTTATAGTTGTGTATAATACTTGTTGTACATATGCAAAAGGTTGGCTTGAGGCAAGTGAGCCTTGGGGTTTCATGTTTTGCACATGCGATCGCGGCTGCTTTGTGACATTGCTCTATAGATGTCTTTAACAAAACTTAGCTAGTGTTATAGGCTCAAATCCAATGGAGTGTGATTTTCACTTATCAAACTTAATTATTTGAACTAAATTGATTTTATTTGAAAAAAATAAAAATGAAAATAGAGTAAATTTAATGCAACCATTTTTTTGTCCACTTATTTCAAGTATAATAAGTTTAAATTAAGTTTAGAAAAAATGAATTTGAGTTTTTCTTTGCTATACCCCTAAGTTAGTTGAGTTTCTAAGGTGTACTCATGCTTTTTCAAGTATCTAAGCCGTGCCCTTCAACTTCTTATCAATACTAAAATGTACCCTTATTAGTTATTTAAAATTTAATTGAGAGCGTGATTTCGTGGCTTTAGTTTTCTTTATCAGGGTTGTTGTGGTTAAGATTTCTTTCACGTATCATTTCCTTACCTTTTATCATCTTTTTATTAAATTTATAGTTAACTTTAGGTGACGTGAAAGTTCCAAGAGGACACCATTTATTAATGGTAGTGAGTTGAGGGGCACAACTTAGAAATTTGAAAAAGCATGGGTACACTTTAGAAACTCGACTACCTTAGGGGCATATCTTAGAAAAACCCAATAAGTTTTAATAACGATTGATAAGGATATTCAAATTTAAATTACAATTAAGATAAGTTTTATTTAATAAGTTTAGTTAAGTTCAAATAAGTAAAAATTAGGTGAGTACAACACATCCCAAATCTACATTACATTTTAGTATAGGTGATTTTTTTTTTTTTTTTTTTTTTGAAAGAATAGTGTAGGTGAGTTTAATTAGTTTAGACAACTAAGTTTACACTCCCTCTGTTTTTAATTGTACCATATTGTCTTTCGGTCATGTAAATTTTTACTACATCGGCTTTATTGTAAATCTACTAATTATAAAATGTCAAAGTTAACATAATTATAAAATGTCAAAGTTAACCACATCAAACAATTTTTCAAAAAATGAGTGAATTATAGTAAATTTTAGTTAAGATAAGTTACGAAAATAAACAAATACAAATAACTCAAATACATCATAATCTTGTCAATTACACATTGCTTCTCCTGTAGAAATTGGGTGGTGAACAAAGATGGGGGAATATGCTTGCCTAGAGGATCCAGATCTTGCAAGACTAGCTAACGTGGTTAAGTTGCCTGGCTGGGGGTGTTCCTGAAAAGCCCCTCCGACAATCGAGTTGGTATGCGAAAAATTATAATATTTTTTACATGCAACTTATTATAATACTACCTCCATAAAATATTAGTTGCAACTTTGGGGCATTATTTGTACTCGATATAAAATATTCTAAAGTTACAATTAATATTTTACGAAGGTAATACTACATATTCACCCTATATATTTTTATTGTAGGCAGAAATGATTTTCAATTTAATTTTGATTTAAAGTGGTGAGAACAAAAAGTTTCCAAGCAAAGATAAATGGTAATTTTTTTTAACTGTAAGGAGAAGAATTCTGCTCAATCAACACCTCTCAAATCTATTTTGATCACTTCTAATTGGATTTAATTTTAAGTCATAAGGCCAACCTCTTATCACTAGATGCCCCTAATAATTAATGTGGCAATGGATTATAGTCTTAAACTTTTAAAATTAAATTTTCACTAAGAAGTCATTTAAACTTTTAAATTAAAAGCAATTTTCACTAAGAAGTCATTTAAATTTTTATAACTAATTTTAATATGTGATATTGCAGATAAATTAAATTATACTTTGTATGAACTTATACTTTACTATGATTAATAAAACTACTTCATTTGCTTAGATTGATTATTAAAGCAACATTACTCACAAGCTTGTACAAGTATATTTGTGTACAATAGTTAGTTTTACATGGAGTATTTATGATGTACAACTAATAATAAATACGAAGTAAATGATCTTATGAAATTTCGCAAAATTTATCAATTAATAGAAACAACGACACAAACAACCAATACAAACACCAAATTTACATGTTTCGTCTCATCCAAACCTCGAACAACCCTACTGTTCACAGTTCATATACTTTATACTACGTATATATTATTATCAAGTTTATAATAATATAGACATATAGTCATGGTCTTAGATCATAACCAACAGTCCAACTTAAAAAAATAAAAATGAGCCCTTCTGATGTTGGAAGTAAATTATCAAGTTACTACCAACAATACAATATAAAACACAATAACTATAAAAAACAAGAGTACGAGTAGAGCTACCTTAGCTTGTAGCAGGCGTTTTTAGAGTTATTTGAAACTTCTTTAGAGAGTCTTCTGAAAGCCAGATTATTCAGATAATTTTATAACGTTGAATTATTCATCAACAACCATTTAATTCGTGATCAATTTACTATTTTCACGATGTTATAAAGTAGCAGCGATTATTACTTTTTACTACTATGAGCATGCAATAAATTTTTCTCCATGCAATTAAAAAAAAAAAAAAAAAAAAAGGCCTGGGAATATGTTTATTTTTTATTTATTTTTTTTTTGACAAAGAGTACTAATAAAGAAAACAAAACAAACAGAGACGACAAACTACATTATGCCGAAACACTAAAGAGACACTTGCGAGCAAACTTTATTCGAGCCAAGTTGGAGTACTTGAAGTCCACACTAGGCCCGCGATCACGCTTTGCACCCACACGAACCACTTGGCAACCTGCAACCGAACTTGGTCGCTCCACTACCGAACCTTTTTTTCCTAAACCGATGATGAAAAATAGACTTGTGATGGCGAAGTGGTTGACCCGAAAACTTGGCACTGGAATGCAAAGTGGATAACTGAAAACTAAACTCACAAACTTTTCCCACAAAATCCTGCGAACTCATCCCTCCCATATAACTATCAACAATAGGAAGGGCGGCAGTCATGCACTCTGAACTGTTGTTCGGCACTGGAGCACCTAAGGACTGCTGCAAAAAAGGAACTGGCAGGGACTCTGGTATGGGCACTATCTGCTGCTCCTCATCACAGGATACAATTCGTGAAGTAAAGGAAGAGGACCCTTCAACACTTGGCTTCACATCGTGGGAGACCTTCATTGTAAAAGAGGTAATCACCTCCTCCGGAGAAGACTGCAAAACCGGAGAATACATGGACTGGGATATGGGAGTCGATGGAACTCTGAAGTAGACATCGCATGTCGCTCCAATCCACAAAGGAACATAGCTGAAGAGGAAATAGAGGTCTCTTCTTCCCTAGAAGTTACATCTTGGGGGACCTCTGTCTGGATAGAAGTTTTACTCGGACGCACCCGAACTGACATTAACGACATAGACTTAGAATAATAGAACTAAATGACCTTGCCTTGCATGACCTGCTGCAAATTTGAGGAAGAAAGCCGAAGGGATGAACTCGAGCCATGTCGAGAAACAAACTTATGCATACGAGAGTCTTCGGATTCTAGATGAAAAGTTTCTGACAACTTACAATCCCCGCCTTTACTAACCAAGTCCGAACCCTTGTTTGTACTAACGGGGTCCGATTGGAAATCACACTCCATATCGGCACTTACTGAAACCGTAGGAGAAAACTTACAATTCCTGTCTTCACTAATTGAATCCAATTGGAAATCACACTCCATATCAATACCCACTGAAACCGATGGTGGGAGAAGACATTCTTTATCACCACCAACTGAATTAGGAAATAAAACTGGCTCCAAAACAACATCAGAACTTAAAACACTACCCTGAAAGTCAGCAAGTGGAGCATCCACCTCTGCGGCACAACAATCCTCTTTGGTCGGACAACTTGTTTGACAATATCAGGAACTTGGGAAGTCAATTCATCTTGGGTAACAGACCGAACCACCTTACCCTTCAGTGTATGATCGACAAAAGATCTATCCTGTAACAAACCCTCAACACAGTGCAATTTTGATAACACTTCTATATTATTTGGATCACTTTTAGCAGCCTTAACCAAATCCTTTCTAGCAGAGCGAAGCTTGCCCAATTCTTGATACGCAAAAGCCCTCCGATAAAGAGCCTTAATATGACAGGAATCAAATTGTAACACAAAAGAACAAAACCGCACAACAGCAGAATAATCAAGAAGCTTCAAAGCACAAGCCGCAAGATTGAGATGCAAAGCAAAAGCCAAAGATCGAAAGGAAGAAAAAGCTTCCAAAGAACACGGCATAGTAAAACACAACAATTTACTAGCCCACTCATACTTAGAAAATGCAAGTTTAAACTTGCCAACCTTGAAGAAGGAGTTCTCTTGCTCCTTGAACTCCGAGGAACGAACTACAACATCACTAGGATTGTCCATAGAGGAAAGATGATGGATAATACTATCATCATTAAAATCATCTGGAATATGAAAAGAAATGAAGGCAGGAAATAAATCCATAATAAGACCTTGAAGCCAAACGAAGAGTAGAAATAAAAACCTACACAAGAACAAATAAACAACCTAGGAAAAGGAAGCTTCACCTAACTCAACAGCTACAAAAAAAAAAAAACCCAAGGAAACTCACAACTCTAAAAAATTAAACTCAAAACTAAAACACAACCTTCAGAACCTCGAAAACATTAAAATCAAAACTCTAAAAGAAACCCAGCCAAAAAAACCATGGCAAAACTCAAGAAACACAACTTTAAAAAGGAAAAAGAAGAACAAAAAAAACATAACTAAACAAAGTACTAGAAGGAAACTAGAGCATAAAACAACAGAGAAAACTAACAAAGGAAATAAATAACCAAAACGGAGATGAATTGAGCGGTAAACAGAGGACAAGGGAACGAAACACCTAGAAATGGAGTGGTCAGTTGTAAAAGCCAAGTGGG